TTTTTGTGTTGAAATGTTCCTTTGTGTCACCTGTCTGTACACGTTTATAGGTTGCTTGTCCAGTTTGCTCAGAATGGTATCCTAAAGAGTATGTTGAAATACATGCAAGCTGTTGTGGTGAAAGGTTTGTGACAATTTTAATGACTAAATATATTTTGAACTTCTATCACTTAAAGCAACTTCAGAGTTTGTGTTGTCGCTGCAGCCTTGTTGGGGAATTTGAAAAGGAGATTGAATGGGAGGGTGCTGACAAAAACAAGGAAAAGACAAGGGAGGAGAAACCATGTAGAAGGTAAAATGCAAAAGGGCACCTGACTAACCTGTAAGATTTCTTACAAAGGTATTTGTTGCATTTTGTTGCTCATTGGTGCCTTTTCTGTTTGGTCTTTTAGCTTATCCGACATAATCACACAGCTTGCTGACAAGGTGGACAGCACATCTGCATTTAACATCAGTGTTACGAGAGGCGAACTGTTTGAGAGGGGCATGTTACAATGGAAACGGCAAAAAAAAATATTCTCCAAAGAATACACTTAGTGTTAATTTCCTAGGAGAGTATGGGATTGACAATGGAGCTCTCCGAAAAGAATTCCTAACTGGTATGTTTTAGTTTGCTTCAATGTAAGGTACTTCTGAATTTTGTAATTTGGTTTGCTGACTTTCCATTTTAACAGAAATGCTGAAAGGAATTGAGGCTCAGCTCTTTGAAGGAGGAGACAATGGAAAAACCCCGAAGTACTCCATTACTGACTATCAGAAAGATCACTACAAGTAGGTAGTATTTAAAGGCATAATTCACCAAAAAATAATAATTCTGTCATTACATTACTGTTCCAAACCACTACGTATGCGTGTGCGTTCCTCTGCTTGTAAACAAGGCAGAGCGTTCTACGTCAGCAGCATCACACATATGCATCGTGGTACTCTCTATAATAGCGGCGGACTGACATGGAAGAGAAGAATTGTTAAATAAAATCATTATTTTTGTTTTCTTTGTGCACAAAAAGTATTCTCGTAGCTTTGTAAAATTAAGGTTGATCCACTGATGTCACATGGACTATTTTAAGGATGTCCTTGCTACTTTTCTGGGCCCTGAGGGTCAGAAAGCTCTCGGATTTCATCAAAAATATCTTAATTTGTGGGTGAGGGTGAGTAATTAAGGACAGAATTTTCACACACTCACATATGTATACATGTACATTCATACATTTCAGTAAAACACTCCCCATTAACTCATGACTTATGTTGCTTCAATATGCTTACAGTTTTTTCAACTGCTTACACACAAATTCTTTACTTGTCACACAATTTCTGAAAGCTGACACTCAAACAGCAGAAGAACACACCAAATCTACAAAACCATACATTAATTCTCAGCCTTTGACTCAGTTGTCAATTTCATAAAACACTTCTTGCAAATCACAACACACAATTCTCTGTGTAACAAACAAAAATCATCTTGATTTCCTTTTTCAAACACAACCAATCAAAATTCACACTAATCCATCAGTGCCTCACACTACTCACATGTGCAAACACTCATTGCTTTACTTAACACCAACCAATCATGACTATAGAGCAGGCCTATAAATAGGCCAAAGGTCAAGTTATAGGTTTTGAACAATGGATGCAAACAATGTGCAATAGACCCAACCATCTCGCCCACCAACAAACACACGCGCGCATGTGTAAACCAAATTATGTTTGTTTTTTGTCCAACTACACATGGTTGATGTATTTCTTTTCTGTCATACTGTGTAATACTGCATTCACAACCACAAATGCTTACAGTAAAAAAAAAAAAAAGTTTAGTTTTAATCTTGCTTTCTTGCAATCTTACCATAAAGTGTTCAAGATCTCTCTGCCAATTACTTTCAATCTTGTACAGAAATGTACATAGGAGCTCATGAAAGAAGAGCTTTAGGTTTTGAATAACTGTGTATGTATGATATATTCAAAAATATAATATTATAGCAAAGGTGTTTGCAACATAAGACAAATGTTTGCATTTGAGATGTGTTTTTGATATTTTTAATGCAGTGCTTCATTTTGCAAGATATGTGAGGCATTTTGTGTGTGCAGTTCTTGGATTTGTGTGTAAAGTTTTGAAAAAAAGAGGCAAAGTTTTGAAAATGTAAACAGTTGAAAAAAACTGTAACATATTTACTTCTGTTACTGCAGGACTTGTGGGGAGATCTTCGCAGTGAGTGTAGCACAAGGGGGCCCCGCACCGAATAAAAAAAAAAATGGTGCTATGACTACATCTGCACAGGAACAAGACAAGAATGAAATGTCCAAAGACAATGTCACCGATCCAGAACTCATAGAGCTTCCTGAACAGGTTTTCCAACACATTAAGATACACCCATTACTGCATTGTGTGGTCACATTACTCATTTAAAAGAAAGGAGTAAGTAGTAATCTTCTTCATGCACAACATGTTGCTGCATTGGGATGTCTTCTATGGAACCAAACATTTTAATTAACATGGGTTGTATAGAAACATTTGTCTGTATTTATATACTATTTGTAGTATTTAATTTTGAATGTTAGAACTAAAAACGGACTTACAGCCTTCTCTAAGTCCTCACAGCTGTATCAGTGTATCAGTATCAGTAGGACCTTTGTCTCATTTTCAGGTTGATGCTGCAGGCACAGATACAATAGCAGACCTGTCTGACAGAATTTTAGCAAGCGGGTATACTGGACCCATTATCCATGAGTGGAAGAAGGCCATTACAGAGTATGTAACTGAACTCAGTGCATGCAGCGATTTAAATTTTCAGTTCTTCATTTCTGCATTTTTTTCTTGTCTATTTTCTATATAGTGCCATCGTTCTGCACTCAGCAGTCCGGATAATTCCAATGTTACAGCAGGTCTGTGATGGGTTGAAGCTGTATAGCTTCCATGACTTACTCAGAGAACACAGTGAGACCTGCCAGCAGCTCTTTGTACCTGGACACTTGCAAAAGGTTTTTAAATGTGCAACCATTTTTATTGGAGGAAAGTCTTTTGATGTATCACTTGTTAATATACAAGTTTCTCTCCTAAACTATTTAGGTTGACGCGGAATTCCTAGAGCTTGCCATGACTCCAATATTCAGTGAGGAAGGATCACTAAGACGCCACAGGGAGTGCCGCATCATCAACTTTTTGCAGGACTTTATTCAAAAGTTGGAGGATGAAGGTGAGTGGAATAACATTTAACAAATCAATTAATTTGTCATTTTAATTACTGATAAAATACTGTTGTTAATTTTTACAATCTTATTTAGAAGAACTTGCTGCTGCAGAAAAACAGGGAATGTGCAACAGAAGTGCTGATTTTATCACCATATGCAAATTATTTCAGTGGCTAACAGGCCAAGCACACATCCCACTGATTGAAACTCAGAGAAAGGAGTTTAAAATCCGCATTGAGTTTGACCACGACGGTGATGCACGTTATGGCGATCACATAATTTGTTATCCAGTCATCAATGCTTGTGCGGTGTCCATCACGTTCCCAACAAAACACCTGGGAACGTACCAGGAGTTTCAAGACATAATGTCACAGGCAATAAACAACAGCAAGGAATTTGGTCGACACTAGGTTGTAATGTTGTTAGTAATTTAGATGTGTAGTAGCAAAACCTGAAACAAGTAACAAAGGTTCTAAGATTGTTATGACAGCATTTACCATTTGATGATTTTGTGTGTTTACCATTTAATAATTAATTAATTTACTATTTCACAAAGTATCTTTAACGTCTGCCACCTGTATGGGATTAGTTTTGTACCTTTAAAAATGAACATAATTTTTCAAGAAACTTACGAAAAATAAAAATATAAACTGAAATGAATAAAATGTCTTTGAAACTGAAAAAAATAAATCACAGGCAAAATCTTTGACTTCGTTTTTAATACACTGCATATGCCCAGTCTTGCATCTGGAGATCTCACTAAAAGTTAAGCTCTAAACCTATTCTAATTAAGAGTCAGGAAAATTAGTTACAGACAGGTTTGCTATAGCAGGACTGACACTGAACTCTGCAGGAAGGTAAATCTCCTGAAACAGGATTGGGTACCCCTCTTGTATTATGTGCCTTTTAAAAAAATAGTCAGTGGTTCTACTTATTTGGTTAAATAGCGTTTTGTTGTATTTGTTGTATTCGGATGCAGTACAGACTTCATTTTAGCTATATGCTAATAGAGTAGACTGTGAGATTGGTAGTCGAATTAGGCTCCTCCCATCGAAGCACTGAATCGTCGACTATTTGGGGTCACCCCTCATAATGTCCCATATCTCAAAAACACTGCAGTAAAATCTTTTTATATGAGGTGTGCATATATGGGATGTCCCATTTACAAACTGACTATTGTTTTTTTTTTCTACTTATTAGAAATGGGGTCTTTATAGCCCCATAAAGTGTAATAATGTCCCATATCTCAAAAATGCTGCAGTAAAATGGTTTCATATGAGGTGTGCATATAGTATGGGACTTCCCCTATAAGAACTGACCATTCATTTATTCTACTTATAAGAAATGAGGTCTTAATACCCCTCTAAATCGAATAATGTCCCATATCTCGATTTCTACTAATCTTGCAATGATTTGAAAGATAGAAAAATATATTAATACAGAACTGTCAAAGACACCAAGAAATAACACAAATAGAAGTACATAGAATTAAAGCAGAAGTACAAAAAAAAGCTCGAAAATGTCATCTTGTTATATTATATCTCAATTCTGGAAATAGTTTTATGGTAAAAGGTTTTACATTGGCAAAGTAGACAGCGCTCTGGGCAGCGAATCAGGCAGTGATTGACAGCGCTCTTGTAAAATGGCATTGGTCATTGTCAGCTACAGTACATTTAGTACTGTACAGTACGCAGTGTACTCGGGGTAAATGTGATCTAATCGAAGCAAATATGATACAACTAAAGACTGTAACTGCATGCAGATAACCATGTCCTGTAGTGACTGGGCTAAATCAAGACACTTACCTTGAGCATCCAGTATCCTGATAATGATGATGATCATTTGTCTGTCCTATTCCTAAGAAGTCATATCCATATCAACAATGTAGTGTAGCAGCAGATAAACACCGATAACATAATAAAAAAAACTCTATATCACTAAAATGAAACAAGAAGCCGCGCTTACAGACTCTCATGTCCACACATGTAAACACAACACTGACGTCTTCACAAAATTCCATTCACCTGGAGGCAAATTAATTCTGCAGGTTTTTTGCAATAAAAGCTGAAGTATGCAAAGGTTTTAAGGTTAAGATGAAAAACAAATTTCTTTAAATGAATTGTTATGAGAGCATTGATGTTTGCATGTACAGTTTTTTGAAAAGTATTTATTGATGGAGACATGAAACATTAAAGTCTAAAGCACCTAAATTGTAGCATAGTCCATTCCTGTTTGTACATATGAAGAGTTCAGATGCAAAAGCCTCTAAGTACGTCTGACATTTTTCTTTAAAGTTAGCATTTATTTCTGGCTACTATGTATAGGTTTCTATGTAGGTACTGGTACATCTGAATGGGTTGAGGCTGGGATTTAGCGCATTTGAAGTGAAAGTACTTGATGAACATATACTATGTGTGGAGAGTATTCACTCAGTATCGTTATCGCATTTTTGACCAAGATGGCTTTTAGAGGCTTTTGCATTGGAACTCTTCATATGTACAACTGTAGGCTACATAATCTAATTAAATAAAATGTAATTAAAAAATTAGTACATGTACAAATTTGTACAATTAAAACATTTGTATGTTCAAATGCAAATGAAAACTCTTACACTAAAGCCAAGGGTTCCACTGAAGGTGTAGTCCTCTAGTTCCACTAGAGGTTGCATCTGCCAGCCACATACTCACGGCAGAGTACATAAAGGTCTGTAAGTGGAGTGTTGGGATCACTCTGGTGTATGAGAGTGTTGAGTTCTGCCAGTTCCTCTTCATTCAAGGGACACTCGAACTCTGGGACCAATACTGCACCATCCACATTTTCTCCATGATAGTCTGCTGCTACTTCCCAGTCAATGTCCGGCTCTTGAATATCCTGTTTTGCAGCAGGATAGAATAACAGAACACATCAATTAAAAGGAGACACATGCCATTGCACTTTATTTGTAATGAAAAAACATCAATGAACAGGAGAACAACCTCAAGATTCTCTGGCTGATTGTCTGTCCTATTCCTAAGAAGTCATATCCATATCAACAATGTAGTGTAGCAGCAGATAAACACCGATAACATAATAAAAAAAACTCTATATCACTAAAATGAAACAAGAAGCCGCGCTTACAGACTCTCATGTCCACACATGTAAACACAACACTGACGTCTTCACAAAATTCTATTCACCTGGAGGCAAAATAATTCTGCAGGTTTTTTGCAATAAAAGCTGAAGTATGCAAAGGTTTTAAGGTTAAGATGATAAGATACACATTTCTTTAAATGAATTGTTATGAGAGCATTGATGTTTGCAGGTACAGTTTTTTGAAAAGTATTTATTGATGGAGACATGAAACATTAAAGTCTAAAGCACCTAAATTGTAGCATAGTCCATTCCTGTTTGTACATATGTACAACTGTAGGCTACATAATCTAATTAAATCAAATGTAATTAAAAAATTAGTACATGTACAAATTTGTACAATTAAAAAATGTGTATGTTCAAATGCAAATGAAAACTCTTACACTAAAGCCAAGGGTTCCACTGAAGATGTAGTCCTCTAGTTCCACTAGAGGTTGCATCTGCCAGCCACATACTCACGGCAGAGTACATAAAGGTCTGTAAGTGGAGTGTTGGGATCACTCTGGTGTATGAGAGTGTTGAGTTCTGCCAGTTCCTCCTCATTCAAGGGACACTCAAACTCTGGGACCAATACTGCACCATCCACATTTTCTCCATGGTAGTCTGCTGCTACTTCCCAGTCAATGTCCGGCTCTTGAATATCCTATTTTGCAGCAGGATAGAATAACAGAACACATCAATTAAAAGGAGACACATGCCATTGCACTTTATTTGTAATGAAAAAACATCAATGAACAGGAGAACAACCTCAAGATTCTCTGGCTGATCAATCTGTGTGTGCATCATTCCAATGTACCACTTCTGCTCTGGGCTCAAATTTCCCTCTGTTCTGAGAGGATGGTTGTTCCAGCCTGCAGCAAAAGTCTCCAAGTCTGCTTTTAGTTTAGGTAGAAATATACAGTGGACACAGAAAATGTCATTTGCAGAGGATAAATCAAGTAGGTGATCTCTTTCCAGGCTTTGTAGTGTTTCAGAGTACTTGGAGGTGACACAGACCCTTAGGTCACGCCACAGACGTTCAATCCTATGGAAATGAGAACATTGTAAAGGGGAAAAAAAGAAGGGAAAAAATAGTCAAAGAAATAAGAATGACTTTCTTACATGTTCCATGTAAAGGATAAATCACCAATAAAAGCTGAAGTATGCAAAGGTTTTAAGGTTAAGATGATAAGATACACATTTCTTTAAATGAATTGTTATGAGAGCATTGATGTTTGCAGGTACAGTTTTTTGAAAAGTATTTATTGATGGAGACATGAAACATTAAAGTCTAAAGCACCTAAATTGTAGCATAGTCCATTCCTGTTTGTACATATGAAGAGTTCAGATGCAAAAGCCTCTAAGTACGTCTGACATTTTTCTTTAAAGTTAGCATTTATTTCTGGCTACTATGTATAGGTTTCTATGTAGGTACTGGTACATCTGAATGGGTTGAGGCTGGGATTTAGCGCATTTGAAGTGAAAGTACTTGATGAACATATACTATGTGTGGAGAGTATTCACTCAGTATCGTTATCGCATTTTTGACCAAGATGGCTTTTAGAGGCTTTTGCATTGGAACTCTTCATATGTACAACTGTAGGCTACATAATCTAATTAAATAAAATGTAATTAAAAAATTAGTACATGTACAAATTTGTACAATTAAAACATTTGTATGTTCAAATGCAAATGAAAACTCTTACACTAAAGCCAAGGGTTCCACTGAAGGTGTAGTCCTCTAGTTCCACTAGAGGTTGCATCTGCCAGCCACATACTCACGGCAGAGTACATAAAGGTCTGTAAGTGGAGTGTTGGGATCACTCTGGTGTATGAGAGTGTTGAGTTCTGCCAGTTCCTCTTCATTCAAGGGACACTCGAACTCTGGGACCAATACTGCACCATCCACATTTTCTCCATGATAGTCTGCTGCTACTTCCCAGTCAATGTCCGGCTCTTGAATATCCTGTTTTGCAGCAGGATAGAATAACAGAACACATCAATTAAAAGGAGACACATGCCATTGCACTTTATTTGTAATGAAAAAACATCAATGAACAGGAGAACAACCTCAAGATTCTCTGGCTGATCAATCTGTATGTGCAGCATTGCAATGTAACACTTCCGCTCTGGGCTCAAATTTCCCTCTGTTCTGAGAGGATGGTTGTTCCAGCCTGCAGCAAAAGTCTCCAAGTCTGTTTTTAGTTTAGGTAGAAATATACAGTGGACACAGAAAATGTCCTTTGCAGAGGATAAATCAAGTAGGTGATCTCTTTCCAGGCTTTGTAGTGTTTCAGAGTACTTGGAGGTGACACAGACCCTTAGGTCACGCCACAGACGTTCGATCCTATGGACATGAGAACATTGTAAAGGAACAAAAAAAAGGGGGAAAAATAGTCAAAGAAATAAAAATGACTTTCTTACATGTTCTATGTAAGGGATAAAGCACTGTTTCTTTATCATTACATTACAGTGCATGCATAATTATGCAATTTGATATTCTGGTCAAATTTTTTTTTTCCAAGTACATTTTAGCAATACCAAAGCACACCAATCTTAATAACTACTATATCATTCAATCATTTATAAGTGACTAAGTAAGTTGAAGATTTCTGCCAAGATTTCACCTGGCAGAAAAACAAATAGGCCTACTATTAAAATGCCATGATTCCCACTATGACCACTAGATGGCAGAAGAGGATCATTTATTGTCTCATTTACCATTTCCACTTTGTAAAATGGTTATTTTCACATGTTTTGCTAATGGATTTATATTTAGACATGAAAAAAAAATCACAATTACAGCATTTAAACATCTCCTTTTTGTCAAAATTCAGCATTGTTTTGTATTGAAGTATGGAGTAGCAAGAGTTTTCAACTCATCGGATCTACTTGAATTCTGGAAAATGGTGGCGCTGGAGACTAAAGGGATCCTGGTGGTTTCACACCTGATTCTTCACCTTAATTCTTAAAGTCTTTTGCTGTTAACATGCAGCTTTTCTTCTCCACCTGTTTTTGTCTGACCTTGCATAGTCAATGAGCATTTTGTTGTCCAGTGGTCATGATTTAATTTGACAATTTCTGTATTGCAATAGTTTTTAATATTTCTCAAATAATTAATAATTTTTGACTTTTCATTGTGTTAAAACTCTTTTTTGGCGCATTTTACCCATAAAAGAAAACCTGCGTAATACTTGTGCACACCTGAGTATAAGGCATTTTTCACTTTCAGCGATTGTTAACAATTATATATCATGTACAAATGATTAAATACAAAATTAATAGTAGTTATTAAGATTGATGTGGTTTGGAATTAGTAAAATGTGCTTAGAAAAAAATACAACCAGAATATCAACTTGCATAATAATTATGCACGCACTGTATATGTGATGTGGTGCACCTTTGATTATGAACGCTCTTTCCAGACATAAAGCTCCCACGGTCAGTTCCACGAATTGAAAACATGAACTTCGCTATTTCCACATTCTCCACCCCCTGGTCTGCTCTGACTCTGTAAGAAAGATAATTAAGAAAAAGATAAAGAATTAGGAATGTTAAATAGAATGAGGGTAAAGAGAAGAACACAACTTACCTCTATATCAGAGGAGGAGAGCAGAACAAATAAACTATGTAATAGAGTTAGTGCTTTAAGTGGGGGAGAGGGGATAAAAGAGGAAATCGGAGGCTAAAACATAAGACAGATGCAGTACAGAAGCTGCTTAACTGAAGCACGGGATTTTTATATTACATAGATGCAGTGTTGGGGAGTAACTAGTTACATGTAACGGCGTTACGTAATTTAATTACAAAATAAATGTAACTGTATCAGTTACAGTTACTAAGAAAAAATATGTTAATTAAATTAAGTTACTTATGAAGAAGTTAAGGTGGTTTCACACCTGATTCTTCACCTTAATTCTTAAAGTCTTTTGCTGTTAACATGCATCTTTTCTTCTCCACCTGTTTTTGTCTGACCTTGCATAGTCAATGAGCATTTTGCTGTCCAGTGGTCATTATTTAATTTTACAATTTCTGTATTGCAATAGTTTTTAATATTTCTAAAATAATTAATCATTTTTTACTTTTCATTGTGAGTTAAAACTCTTTTTGGCGCATTTTACCCATAAAAGAAAACCTACGTAATACTTATGCACACCTGAGGCATTTTTCACTTTCAGCGCTTGTTAACAATTATATATCATGTACAAATTATTAAATACAAAATTAATAGTAGTTATTAAGATTGATGTGGTTTGGAATTAGTAAAATGTGCTTAGAAAAAAAATAAGACCAGAATATCAACTTGCATAATAATTATGCATGCACTGTATATGGTGAAGTGATGTGGCGCACCTTTGATTATGAACGCTCTTTCCAGACATAAAGCTCCCACGGTCAGTTCCACGGACTGAAAACATGAACTTCGCTATTTCCACATTCTCCACCCCCTGGTCTGCTCTGACTCTGTAAGAAAGATAATTAAGAAAAAGATAAAGAATTAGGAATGTTAAATAGAATGAGGGTAAAGAGAACACAATTTACCTCTATGTCAGAGGAGGCGAGCAGAGCAAATAAACTATGTAATAGAGTTAGTGCCTTACGTGGGGGAGGGGATAAAAGAGGAAATTGGAGGCTAAACCATAAGACAGATGCAGTACAGAAGCTGCTTAACTGAAGCACGGGATTATTATATTACATAGATGAGACTTCACAAAAGATGATATTTTGAAGAATGCTATTAACCAAACAGTTTTGATTTCCATTTGTCAGCAAACGGAAAGAGACCATTAGGAGACATACAGGTGAGATTCAAGAAGTTCCTTGCAGGAAACACAGAGGAAGATGACAGAAGACAGATGATTACTTGGGAAACGCAGGTAAGTGAGTCCGGTAAGTGGCTTGTAGTAACAACAACGAGACCAAACAATAAGGGAGGGAATGGCGACTGCTTTTATATAGTAGGTGATGAGGAGAATAGTGGCAGGTGTGCTGATTGGGGATCAGGTGTAGGTGTGAAGCAGGCGGGATGCTGGGAAATGGAGTCCTTAATGTGGCAAGGTGACTGAGCTGGTGACTGGCTGGCGATTGGGATGGTGACTAGGCTGGTGGACTTGTGACACCATTGAGTTACATTGTATTTTTTGTCCATACAATGTAAATCAATGGGAACCAAATTTGTTTACCAGCATTCCCTTCAAAATACCTTCTTTTGTGTTCAACAAAATAAAGTCAGTCATACAGGTTTGGAATGACTTGGGGGGTGAGTAAATTGACAGAATTTTCAATTTTGGGCAAACTATCCCTTTAAGACTGTCTTAAGAATGCTTACTTAGATTGCAAGCTCTTTAAAACTTTGCTTGTGCTTTAGGAATGTGCTTTATTGGATTAGTCTCTCGGTTAGTTTTAAGTATGCTTACTTAGATTGCAAGCTCTTTAAAACTTGTGCTTTAAGAATGTGCTTTAACCAACCAGTAATTGCCATTTATATCTTCTCGT